GAATTGGTTGAAGGACTCAGGTTGGCCGCCTTGCAATTGATGTTCACACTGGGTTAAAACAGAGAAGACCTGTTCATCCCAAGTCAGGCACAGCTCAGACTCTGTTGCTCAGACTGCAAACTTATTCCCCTGAGAGTGATTTGCCCTCAGTAACCTAGATGCTAGCCTCCTACTCATAATTCTTTTCCCTATTTAGCAGAGCTCATGCTGATTAAAATGAAAGAACAGTTCAAAGACAGGTTTCTCTTTAACTGCCTTGGTGCATATTAATTTTTGTCTCTCCCTTTTCTACTAAGCCTCTAGAAAGCAAAGAAAAGCTACTGTAAATACGTTTTCACTGGAAAGCTGCCATTGTTCTAAATTATGAAAGCAAATGATTTCTGACTTGGGCTGTTAATTGTACATAGCAGTAATATATTAATTTTAAGCTTCCCATGATAGTTCAGACACCCTGATTTCTAGGTTTTAATGATGCATTACGAGCCTTTATTTCTCTGCCCAGGCAATTAATCACTGACACTCTTCAGTCCCCCAAAGTAGCTGGACACCATTAGACAAGAAAGAATCAGACCCGAGTGGGATCAAAATTTCTTTTCAAGCAATACTTGTTTTTTCGCACCATAAACTCTGCTTGACATTCATGGCACCAAGTATATTTTAATAGAACTGCTGATATTCTGCCTCTCCTCCCAGTCTCCCAGGAGTTTTTTGTAGCTCAACATGATGTTTAGAAACAAGCAAAAAATGCTCTGTGAAGTTTAAAGGCTGTCAAGCCTTCTTGGCAAATTCCTTCCAAGAGCACAGCTGAGAAATGACAAACCTATCACCTGACTGGCTGGTGTTTAAACCTGACTGCTTTTGATTAGGAAGCAATGAACCTTCCCTTTTGGAGTTCATTCTGTGTTTTATAAGCACCTATTCACTGAAAATTATGCAGTTGAACTGATTTGAATTTGATTAGTGTTACACTCCAGTTTTATTATTTGTAGTAAATACAGGCATCTCTTACGGTTTTACTGCACATTTAGGAGAATGTCAGGATAGTTAAAGACTTACTTTTACTTCTCATGTATTATTGCTTGACATTTAAAACAGATCCAAGAACAATATATGCCTGTATTGCAGTTACTCACTTGTTGTGCACTACTCCATATGTATACTCACACTCTACTTCCTCTCTGCTCCAGTGGGAAGAATAGGATGAAGGCAATCCTGCCTGCTCAAGGACAAACTACTGTGTCCCTAGCAGGTGAGCTGAGCTAGAAGCAACTGTGAAATGCAGCAGCTAATGTATTTAATGGAAAACTCCAGTATTAAATTCTATGCTGCAGACTGTGTGGTATTTCAACAGGCAGCACTGAGGAGGAGCAGTGCTGCTACCAGAGGGGTTGAACACTGAACACTGAATCGTTCCTTCAATGTCAGCCAGCTTCAGGAGCAGCAATGTGAACGCTCTGGGAAGCTTGATACCCTTTTATCTTCTGACAGCCTTTCAATTATATGTCCCTTCATATTATTACATAACTTGATGTGCACTGTGGACGTCAGTAATAAAAACCCATTTCATGCCTGAAGAACACAACTTCTTTGGTAAGTCAGTTTAGACCTAGACGGGGAGCAGTGCATTTGACCAGAAACAAATGCTGAGTGGAGTCAGATGGTCAGGTCAATAAAAGCTAAAAAAAAATACTTGACTTTGAGAGAAAAGAGAGTTCAGGACATAGCCTAAAGGCTTTATTCAGCCCTAGCTAAACATTTATCTCTATATCAGTGTTATAAGGAGAGATTAGAGACCCAAACTTACATGCTGCAGAGGGGTTACAGATATACCTACAGAACTCACCAGTAAGGTCTGGGAGCAACTGAGAGCTTTCATTATTACTAGTATGGTCCACAGTGTCTTACGTCTAGTACCTTCAGGCTGAGTATTCTCCAACATTTAATTCTCCCTATCTTGAGAAAAAATGCATATACTTACACAACTTACCTCCTAATTTACTTAACTGTTTTGCAAACCATCATTATAGTGCATGACTACAGCAACATATCCCAGCTATCAGGGATGCTTTTAGAAAAATTAAAATAATAGTGAAACATTTGTGTGATATATGCATTTTCAGTACTTCTTGAGCTTTCATTGGTACTAGCTGGCTGTCTCAAAAATCTGTAGCATATTAATTTCAACTGTATCTGTATAAAGATGCAAGACAAGAAACACAAAAAAGCTGTTTTGGGTTATGATATTTAAATCTTTTATGCCAGTGATGACTCTTGTTTTTTGAGAACCTGCAGCTGAGACTAGTGAAAGCTGCAGGCTGTCAGTACTTCTGAAAATGAAGGTATGTCTTCAGTGCTCAAATACAGAGAGAAGTGTCTAACGTATTTTTCAAAAAGTTGAGAGTTATCAACAGAAATGCCTTCTCCTAAGCAAATCCTATTTCTTCACTAAACAACTAATTTAAGAACAAACCCATTAGAGGAAAGAATTAGCAAAAATTACAGAATTCCAGAAAATTCACTTCTCGGAAATTCCATAGGCCAATTTCCACAAGGTGAATGAGGTGCATGAGAAGCTCAAAGCAAAGCCCTGAATGATCTGTTCAAAGCAAAGCTCTTGTGCATTGGGCTGTGCTTCTCTACATCCACTTCTCAACTTCTTGCTTGACAACAGAGCATTGGGACAGAATTGGCCTACCTCAAACTCCAAGGACTAGCATATGCCTCATGCCTTGTTCATCTCAGCTCTACACAATTTAATTAATGATATGACATGATATACACAATCTGTAGCTTTTAACGAAAGGAACTCCCACTACTGAAATTTAAAACTTTGTCGCTTCATTGTTTTTAATTTTGCCCAATCTCTGTTACCTGAAAGACAGCTACATAGTCTACACCAGACATTTAGGCACATTTTCTAAACACTAGAGGGCATTTCATCTCAACTGGGTTTTTTTGACACATACCTGAAAAGTAATTATATACTGCTTTGGACCTGAACTGAGTATATACGCATGCATATATACACACACACACACACACACACACATATATATATATATATATATATATATATATATATATATATATATATTTGCAGCTGGAAAACAAAACCATCAGAAAATGCAAGGAAGCAATGGATTAAGATGAAACTTGGTATTTTGCTACAAAGTTCTGGCTTTCTCAGGATGGGGAAAATCAGATTTCTCTTTCTTCCTCTAAACACCTTTGTTCATCTTCCATAAATATAAGTGGAGTCTTCCAGCCTTCTGAAATATTTTATCACTTATTAAAAACTACAGTAACCGAGTGAAAAGGAATTACTACTCTCAAGTTTCCAAGAATACTAGGTAATTTTCTTTAGGCAATCATGATCACTTACTTCCCAGTCCCCCCTTGTAAGCCCTTTTAGGAAATGTGGTATAATTGTTAGGAGTTTGGGCTCTAAGTAAAGGTATTTTTGTTCTGATGAGTATTATTCAGTGTGATGCAGTGCAGTTTCCCCCTTCTTCCATCTGCTATATGCAAAGCAAAAATAATAATAAATAAAGAATATTTCTAAGAGCCTTAGATTACTATTTACAGTGTTAACACACTTAAATATAATCTACATAAACCCTTAAGAAACCTGCATATTTTCACCCATTTATTTCTTTATCTCACAGCCTACATAAAACTGGAGTGTGAATACTGTCACCTAGGGTTTATTTCCAACTCTAGCTAGGAGAAAGAATCTTGAAAAATCCACTGAGTTTTTTCTCAAGTCTAGAGTTGCGTTAGGCTTGAATAGCTTCTGGCCACATTCTTTTAGCTCTTTCTCTGCAGAGAAAAACCTATGTCTAAACTAGGGCATAGTTCAAATTTTTACCACCATTTGCAAGAGCAGAACCAAAAATAGTGTGGACAGAAAAGTGCCACTACCCCTTTTTTAACATATGGTGACAGGGAATGGGGTCCCATATGAGGACTTCATGCTGTTCCTCAGGGCAGACCAGGTCTGTTTTCTGGTGTGCAGTCAAGAGAAACAAGGGAAGGAATGAAGTTGCACCAGGGTGTAGGAAATGAAGGTGTGTCCAGCTGCAGCAGGACTCCACATTAGCTATTGATTCTGCTTTTGTGAGTTGAAGCCTTCTGGATGCTACCAACAAGTGACCATGGTCTTTTGTTTCACATGCTCTTTGCTGAAGGAACAAATTTATTTCTAATAACTAAAGCAGTAATTGTACTTTTCTACGACATATGGATGTATATAAGCTTATTACAGAAAAATACAACTCAGTATTTAGCTTGAAGGATTTAGGAAATGTTAGATTTATAATTTCCAATATAATGAGACGACATTCTTTAGCATATACTAGAGAACACAGCGTTTAACTACAGGACCCTTACTGCTCTTTTCTCCAAAAGACCTAACTCATTCTGGATATAAGATTGAATTAAATACTTGTATCTGTCTTAAACTCTAATGGTATGACCCTTTTTTGTTTTCTCTTTTCCATCCAAATGGTTGCTGCTGTAGTTTTATTTACTTTTCTTTGTGCATAGTTTGTAGCAACAGTGCTACAGTAGCTGAACCATACAAAGCTTTTTAACGGAATGTTCACAGTAGCTCAAAAAAGATACCAATATTTTCAGAGATGAACAAGTGGAGAACAGAGCAAAAAAATACCCCAGAATCTGCAAAATTTGATTTTCACATATCGTCTCAGTGGGTTAACTTATCCAAAGGAGAGACGATTTTTTCAAATATTTGGCATTTAAAAAAAAATTATTTCTATGTTCAATACACTGCACTCGTTTATTTACGATTGCTTTACTTCTGTGAGGAAGATGATCAGCTATTGTGTTCCTTTATGACAGAAAAGGTGTGCAAATTTAGATTCATAATCAAATTGTCCTGTCTCAAATAATAAGCACCATAGGTATCTCATAGGTATCTCTGTATAAGCTCCATTACAATGGCAAACAAAATATGAACTAGTTTCAAATAGTCCTGTTTTTTGCAGACTGAGGTGACTTAATTATCTCACATTTGAAATAAACTAAAGCCATATAGAAAAATACTACAGCTCACCTGACAGAGTGGAAGATCACTGTAAGTCTGACTGGTGGCATATCCTAGAGAGGGTTGTAATGGCAGGTCCAGAACTCAAGGCTGTGCAGAGTCCCAGCCTGAGGCTCAGTCCTTCAGAAGCCAGTGATTTATTGCAAATGATGTTGAGCACTCTCAATTCCCTGAACACCATTCAAAAGGTACAGTACTTCCCTAAGGCTCCAAAAATCTGAAAATCAAGATAAAGTTGGGCAGACATATTCAATAAAAAACATAAAATTAGTTGTCAAATTAGTATTTTTGCTTAAATGAGCAATGTAGCTTCACATAGCATCTCTGTGACACAGGGTTATAGTTTAGATGACAGAAAACTCTTGGAAGACATTACCTTCTGAAGTCTGCATGCTATGAGATAAAGCAGTTACAAAACATAATAGAATTTGCTCCACAGTTCTAACATATTCCTGTTCCCTGCAAAGCACAAGTAGAATGGGAGTGCATGTGACCACCTGCTTAGGGTCTCTGAAAGGATGAGTATGAACAGAGCAAAAATGAAGTAGAGGAACAAACTAAACACTGTGTAGTTTGTTTGGTATTTCTAGGTTTTGGGTTTTGCTTTGTTTACTTTCTGAACCTTTCAGTAAAGTTACTATACAAAAATTAAGCTACCATTTTAGCCTATATTTCTCAACTAAATTCTTCATTTTTATACTGCTACAAATTTATCAGGTGCTGCCTCAATATCTTCTCTGTACCTGCAATCATCTACTTGAGATAAAGGCTCACAGTCCATGCACAGTAGTATGAGCGTGCTTTTGGCTATGTAATAAAAAAGGTTTGTGGGGGTGAGTTTTATGAATACCAACACTCTTTATGCAGATATTACAACACAGTAATTATATTCTTCTGGAGGAAATTAATTCTGAGTGGATGAGAATGGGAACTTGTAAGAACAAGTTGGGTTGGAGTTGTGTTTCAATTATTGATAAGATTAACAAAATCAGGCTTATGAGAGACTAATCAAAAGAAGTTCTTACTAAAATAAATGAATTGTGAAAGAATTTAAAGATTTAGGCTGGAGTGGGAAGCATTTTTAAAACACATTAATTAGTCTCTTCAGCCAGCCAACAGAGACAAGGTACATCCAGAGAGTGTTTTAGAGCATCTGGCTTAGGTACTCTGAACTATTTTCTGTAAGCAAAGATCACTCCACTGAATGTGTAGGTACCCTAGGCATGTGTAGCAGCAAAAGCAGTTATTTGAAGCTAGGTGATGAATGTGCTCTGTACTTCCCTAAGTGTTACACCAAGGTAACTTCACATAAAAGAAAAAAATCCTGAGCAGTGGAGCAGGGGAATACAGACATCTTTTTACAGCTTCTACCAAGTTTACTGAACTGGCAAACAACAACTTTGTGGATGTCTCATTATATCCTCCAAAACAAACAGATTTTCATGAAAGAATCAGAAAACAATTTTTGGGTCCCTCATGGGAATTCCCGATATCCAAAGCAAGGAAACCTCAACTTGAAAATAGTGTAAGCCTTTCCATAATCTTGGAGAAATTTTTCTTTGCTGAAAACTATTAAGTGGGTATAAACATCAGGCTTGCAAAATAAATGGTTAAATGGCAAAATAAATGGTTAAAGTAAGCCAAGCACTGTGAAATTAGTTAAACATTGGTTACAGGTCAGTAAACTCAAATTCAGGTCTTGTCATGCAGACATTTGATGTAGTCAGTGTCTGAGTTAAACTTTGTTAGATTGTTGTTTGTTTTTTTTATTGTTTCAATCACTGAGTTTAAAATGGCTGAATTAATTATTTTTCTGCTTGATTTCATGCATAAGAAAGGCCACTGAAAGAATAGCTATTCAATATGTCTTTTATCCTCTTTATTAAATGTGTTTTTCCTTTTTTAATTTTCTGAACTCTATTCAAAACTTTCATTTTTCTTGACAAAATTATGAATTTAGAAGTTGACTTTCTGGGTCATTTGTGGTTATACTATGTGAATACCTCATAAGTGTAACTAATTGTTTATTACATTCCTGAGTTAAAATAAAACATTCAACACTGTTACATTGCCTGGGAAAGCCAAGGCTTGCACTTAGCCTTAAACAGAATTTCACAGTCAGGCACAGCTGATGATGACACTTGTAACTGATGAAAATCAGATCCAAAGAGTCTTTATAAGATCTCAAGATAACATGAAACACAGCATTAGCAAGCTTTTACTTTGAGCAATTTGCCTACACTCACACAAAAGTCTGCTGACAGAGATGCTGAAGGACAATATAATCCATTCCTCTGTTTTAGCCAAACTCAGCTGTTTGCCATTAAACACCCTCCAAATCACTGGGAATGTCAGCCAGTGTTCTGTGGCTAAGAGCCTATTTGAGCACACAACCCTTACACATTTCCAGACATCAACTTGTACTTTAGGCAAGACTGCAATTAAAAATACGAGCACTGGGAAAATAAATCTGAGTCAGGACCATTCTGGTGGTGTTGTCTAATTTTCTAATACAGAGCTTTTGCTTGTTCTACATATTTCTCCTGACCCCTTTACCATGCACCCCAAACATATTTTTCTGGATCTGACAGAAAAAAAGATTTTTTTATTTTTCTGAACTGTTTAGCACTTTGACCAAAATCCTTGGGTTGAGCAGATACCTATCTTGGAAAATTTAATTTGAAGTGGATACAGTTGTATTTATAGAACATTTTAATGGCAGATAATATGGCCAGCCCTGCCAAAAGTATATTTACAAGAAAAATGAGAGAAATGAAAGCATGGTAGATTATACTTTATAGCTTGTTCTGTATTTTATCTGTGAGAGCTATGAATGAGAATGACTCATTGAAATATGTCCAGATGAAGAACCTGGTATAAAGTGTTTTTTTATTAAAAACTGATCTGCTTTCTAGATCCTTAAAGATATTCTTAGGGTTATTTTTGGTTGACTGTGTATTACAAAATCAGGTGCCTTATTTCCATTAATTTAGCTAAGCAGACTCCAAAGTAGAAAAACCCAAACAAATGACTCTGAATCTAAAATTATCCCTAAATTGGTCTAAAATAGAACTTTGGTTATTTGTAGAACTGTCAGCACTATAAAGTTTAAGAATATGTATGTTTTTAGTGTCCAGTCCAACTGTGCTCAGTGCTATGGGGAGGACATTGGCATTACCAGGAGTCTCAAAGCCCCTGTCAGTGTTTTGAGATGTCTTTCTTGCTCATCAAAGACATACAGCATGAGAAACTTACCATGGCAACAGGCAGCTATAGAAAAAAATAGGGTTATAAAGGAAATGGATGAAGATAATAATAACTCAGTGTAAATTTGGCATATGGAGATAGGGTCCCTATACACACACATTCTGCTGTGGCTTCATCCAATTGCCTGGCCAAGTCCAGCAGGCACCAAGTGATGACAGTACAACTGCCCCGTGGACAAGAGAGTTCAGTGCTCAAAATAAGTCCCAGATCAGAATGCATCCTGTGTTTCATTTCCTGATCAGCTTCCACCCTCACCTGCTGCTTTGCTAATTGCACTTCATTACATCACTTTGACCTGCTGAGTGACCTTAGCCAAATCATGTAGCTTCACTGTTTTTCTAACTGTCCACTATAAGGCAGAGATTAAAATACCTGCTGCCTTCAGTAAGCATTTTGAGTTCAGCACAGAAATTTTCTTCTATGCTCTGTGGGTGTTATTTCATCTTTTAAGGACTATGCAGCATTATTGGGGTCCCCATAATTCTTTCACGTGAGCACTAAGTTCCCTAAAGCACATATCCCACATGCCTTCACAGTCTAATGGGCAACCCATTTTTGCCTTAGATCTGCAGAAAAGTTCAGTGATACAAAAAGTATTGTGCCTCCTTTAGAAATTTGGTAGTTCTCATGAAAATAAAGTGGTGACTATCATGAATGGATGAAATTGGTTGCCAAGTCGAGATCTGAGCAAGCAACAGTGCCGAGCAAGTAGCTTCAACTGAATATTTTTCTTGTGGGAAAATATTTTTCATGTGGGAAAATTGGTTATGATGACATGAAAAGTAAAATCTTGCTATGGTACTGTATCTGAAGTACTTTTCCTGGATCAAAGTTTTTTCAGACTGTTGCTAAGCAGGACATGGGCTGGAATGATGCAATCCAGTCCTTAACAGCTAAGTTTTCTGTTTGAATTTAATTCAATTGTAAAACTGTCTACAGATTGCATTCTGAATTTCATATTCCCTTTTCAGTCCTTGATGGCAGCATGGATTTATAGTATATGAAACCTGAGTAAGATCTGCAGGATTAAATTCTAAATCAGAAAGCTACTTTGCTTAACAGGAATTCAGTGTAGTACAACATTCCTGTCAGTTGTTTGTATCTTTACATTTTGAATTTTAAACCAGATATTAAAAAGGTATCAAACACTAAAAATACCATACAGAATAATAAAAAGAATTCTATCAGTTTTAAATACTCAGAGAATGCCACACTAAGTTCCTGTATAATTAGAGAATAGCAGCATTTCATTTGAATTACAATGTCCTTGATTAAGTTTTCATCTAAAGTAGGTATATGAAACATCATGTTCTTCTGGGAAGAAGAGGAAAAAAAGTGGAAAAAAGAAATGAAAAAGAAAGAGGCTGCATTGGCAGGACTTTTTCCACTGAATTTTGCCACCGGTAGTACAGGATTGTTATAAAGTTTTGGAAGAAATACATAAATTATTAGCTGAGCAATGAATATGGAATTTAAAGTGAATATAGTAAATAATTATATAAACCACGTGCACACTTTTTTCTGTGTGCAGAAGTAAAGAAAGCAAGCCCACCCAGAGTGCTGAGTCACAGATGAGCAGCTGAGCAGTTTGTCCCTCTGACTTGGTGGTAACACAGTGTGAAGGTCTTGCAATGCAAGGGCACATAACAAAAGTATCCACTGCTCTCCTGTGAGTAAGCCATCCATCATGAGCTAATGCATCCAGTATGGCAACAACAGTGCCAAACAAGATAGAAGCAGCTATTCCCACACTGGATAATAATACTGTATAACAAGAAACTATACCTCCATTAAATCAATAAGGTATAGCAGCAACCGAAATAAACAAGAAATATTGTTTTCATAATTAATTCTACTCTTATCAGGGCATTGAAGCATTTCTGTTTTCCACCTTGTGGACCCAAATGTTGTGAAAAGATATTAAAAAGTTCTGATTGTTTGCATATAGCA